AAACCTCCTCATCAACTTCCAAAGGTCTGTATTGCTACTGCATGCTCTCTTAATCAAAGGTCTGCATATTTGTAAATCAGGATCCAATGGGTGGTCACTTACTCCAGCCCTATCTTCTACTTTCTACTCAAATTAAGGTCTTTCAGGACAATATCAGCACCTATATTATGGAGCATTTGTGTGATGGAGCACGAAACATGTAGGAGGATATAAAATAATGGCAACAATATCTTTTCTACCTCTGAATGATTACAAAATTCAACAGAACTCAACAGCAGTTGTAGCAGTTAAAGTGCTTCAGAATTTTTGCCCCCAGTTTATCGTATCTTCAGTTCAGACCCACCTATAAATCCTCCCTATCCATCCAATTCATGGAGAGATTTCACACTCTTTTAAAGATTCAATGGTCATATTTTACCCTCATTTAAATTTGGTTTCTCTTTCTTTAAATGAGTTTTTCTATTCGATAGGTTTACACCAAATCAAGATTTTTATCCTTTTTTTTATTCAAACTTGGGTAAGGGTTTAGGTTTGCATTGTAAATGGTCTTACAAATGAGTATCCATTGAGTTGAATATTTATTTTTCTATTAAATAACACAAGTAATAAAATTAAATAAATATATTAATATACCAAAAAATATATACTAATATACCAAAAATTTGGAATGAAGTAAAGTTCATGCATGCAGTATTTCGTGATAATGTGACAATAATTACAAAGGAATATCTAAAAGGAAAAATAATACTTTCATAGTCTCAATTATGTCCCTACCTCTATATAATTCCCTCCACTCTCGGTTTTGTTTACATTTGCACCTATAACTAGGTTATTGTTTTCACATTCTCCTAATAATTGACACTTAAAATGTTTATTTTATTACAAATGTGAATATTTTCCATTCAAAGCTTGAGAATCTTGAGTAAACACCGTGCAAATAATATTATAGTTAAGGGTTTCAAAATATAAATTTTTGTATATTAAATCACCATGAAATTACTTAATTGTAAAGTAAGAAAATTATACTTTAATCCCATAAACTATGTTCCCTATCAGATATTTCTTTCTCAACTATCATATTTTTTATATTTCACCTTCAACAATGGTTATTAATTTCACGTGTTACAATGACAAACATCTGTTCCTGATTGGATAAAAAATTATATCATTATATTTCAGTTTAATGGCAAAAAAATACAGCTACTAAGGAGTTGCTTCTAGATTCAAATCAACCAACGACACTTAATAGTTATAAAAAACATTATATAGCAACTATGTTGTTCGTTATCTTGTGGGGTATTTCGGTTCAATTATTCACAAGGAGGGGGAGACTGAAGAAGATATCACTTTTATATTGAAATTAAGGGGACATACAACTAGTGTATTGTGTGATTGATGTACCTTTCTTAAGGTGAAATGTAAATTGTAAAAGACAACCTTTAAACAAAATTTGTTTTATGTTATAGAACGTTTGTTTTTTTTTTTTTGAAAAGTAAAATATATTCATCTTTGCAAAATTACATATGCATGTAAAGAACCTATCTGTTTATCAAACAGACCAAAAAACAAAAGAAGGGGCCAAACACCTGAATTGCTATAAGTTCTGCCTTGTGACAGAATTTATGGCAGTTCAGAGCAATCATAATGACCACTAGGATCAGGGAGCCATTTAATTCTATCAGCATGCAGAGAGTTGGGTGGAGCCATTTAATTCTATCAGCATGCAAAGAGTTGGGATTATAGGACGGCATAGAACTAAGAATTTGCAGTAGCTCAAGGGTACCTGAAGAAGACCATGCCCAACAAGTACCATTAACAATGGTTTCTACCTTTGCGGTAGATGGCAGATTTGCGAGTTCAATGATTCTCTCCGACCATTTAAGAAGAAGAGGCCCATGCGGGTGCCAATTATCATGCCACACAAGTGTGTTGATTTACCATCTCCAATAGTATGAAGAATCAATGGCCTAGCAGTGTGCCTGAGTTTCAAGAGTTTCCTCCAATTCCATGAAAAAATCTGAGGTGGTCTAACTTCCCAAAAAGATTTCATCTTGAGATAGTTCACTTTGATCCAGTTAGCCTAAAGATTTTCCTTGTGATAGATAATGTACCAGATGTACCTCAACATTAGAGCTTTGTTCCAGCTATGAAGATCTTTAAGCCCAAGACCACCTTCTTCTTTTGATTTAATGACAGTCTCCCAAGCCACCTTAGAGGCTCCTTGCTTTTGCTCGTTGCCAGACCATAGGAAAGATCTTAGTAATTGCTCAACTCTTTTCAAAACACTCTTGGGAAGGATCAAATGGCTTAACCAGTAGCTGTGCATATTGCACAGAACAGATTTCACAAGTTTAAGCCTACCNCAAAACACTCTTGGGAAGGATCAAATGGCTTAACCAGTAGCTGTGCATATTGCACAGAACAGATTTCACAAGTTTAAGCCTACCTACATAAGAGAGAAATCTGTTAGTCCAACTTTTTATTCTAGCTTTAGTTTTGTCCACTAGAATTGCACAATCTCTTGGCCTCAACTTGGTTGAAATGAGTGGGNCCTACATAAGAGAGAAATCTGTTAGTCCAACTTTTTATTCTAGCTTTAGTTTTGTCCTCTAGAATTGCACAATCTCTTGGCCTCAACTTGGTTGAAATGAGTGGGATACCCAAGTACTTGACAGGAAGCTGCCCCAATTGAAATCCAAGGCAAGAGATAATTTGGTCCCTTTGTGTCTCAGGGATCCCAGAAATAAAGATTTGGCTCTGAACTGCATTTGCACTCAAACCAGATAGGGATTGGAACTTATCTAGAGCTTTTTTAGGCACAACAACTGAGGGAAAAGAGCCATGACAGAAGAGGAAAAGGTAATCTGCAAAGCACAAATGAACCAACTTTTGTCCCTTACATCTCCAGTGGTACTTGAAAGAATCTGAAGCAGCAATTTCAGCTTTAAGAATGTGAGTAAAAGCTTCGATGATAAGGACGAAAAGATAGGGGGAAAGAGGATCGCCATGTCTAATACCCCTCTTGCTAGGAAAAAAACCAACTTACTCCCCATTAAGGTTGATACTAAATCTTGGTGTTGTGATGCAAGCTTGGATCCAAGAAATCATATTAGATGGAACGTTTAATCTCCTGAGAGTAAAGATCACAAAATCCCAGTCAACCATGTCAAAAGCCTTCATTAGATCAACCTTTATTGCACATCTGGGTGATCCCATATCCTTGTGATAATTCCTCATAAGTTCTTGTGCAAGGAGAATGTTATTCCCTATCCTTCTTCCAGGAACAAAAGCTAATTGATTATGGGAAACAATATCAGAGAGCACCTCCTTAATTCTAGAAGCTTTAACCTCGGAGATGATTTTATAAAGAGTGTTGCAACATGAAATTGGTCTAAAGTCTCAATCTTAGAAGGGTTAGGGACTTTAGGAACTAACGAAATGATGGTATTATTGAAGTCTTTCAACAATTGACCTCTAGTGAAGAATTCCAAGATTGCTGCACAAATATCTTCACCAATAGTAGGCCAAACAGCTCTATAAAAATGTCCATTAAACCCATCAGGACCTAGGGCTTTGTTTGGGTGAATAGAGAAAGCTGCCCTCTTGATCTCATCCTCTGTGACAGGAATAGAAAGATGCAAAACTTGGTCATCTGAAAGTTGTCTCCATGGAAGGTTATGAAGCTCCCTATACCTGTATTGTGCACATGAAGAACTATTGCCAAGAATGGATTGGTAATGGTGGATAACAATTTGTCGGATCTCCTCGGGCTCATTGGATGTAGTCCCATCAACTCTAGTGATAAATAGAGTTTTATCTCTATTTCTTCTAGAATTGATAGTTTTGAAGAAAAAAGTTGAATTCTGATCTCCATCTTTAAGCCACTGAACTCTTGATTTTTGCCTTAGAAAGGATTCCTCATTTTTTGCTACAATAATATAATCCTGAAGGAGTTGTCTCCCAAGAAATCTCAAGGCTGCATCCATAGGAAAAGAGCCTAAAAGCCTTTGACATTTGTCAGGCTCCATCTTAGAGGCTTGGACCCTTATGGTAACATTCTCACTTTGGGGTTTGGTTAGATCCTTGAAAGCCTGTTTAAGCATTTTCAGCTTGGTGAAGACTTGGAATTGAAGTTCCCACAACTGGTTTGGTCCATATGTTAGAGACAATTTGCTGGAAGTCATCTCTGTGAGTGTGGAGGTTATAAAATTTGAATGGGCATTTCCTAATTTTCCTTAACACACCCATTTTGAGAATGTCTGGACCATGATCTAATAGACCCGGTGGGAGAAATTCAGCCATAGCTTCTGGGAAGAGTTGATTCCAAACATCATTAGTCAAGATTCTGTCAAGTTTCCTTACCACACACTGCCCAGGATTCCTATTATTTGACCAAGTGTAAAGATGACCAGTGAATCTAAGGTCACTTAGATCTGCACCTTGAATACAATTGTCAAAATCATACATAGACTGATTCCAGTTCTCAGTACCCCCCAAGGTCTCCTGAAGGTTTCTGATTGCATTAAATTCACCCAATAAAGCCCATGGCTTATTCACAAATGTTTGGGCTTGATAAGTAATGTTCCTCCATAGAGACCTTCTATCTCTCTCATTATTAAATGCATGAATAAAAGATATAACAAAAGTGGTGTTACTGTCAATGTGTGTGACAAAACAATGGATAATTTGCCCAGTTTCCTCCAATTTCTGGACTCTAAGGACCAATGGGTTCCATCCAACCCATATTCTTCCAAAATGGTGACTATTATAGTTATGCATATATTCCCAATCTCTAAAGGTGAACCTCATGGATTCATCTTTATTAATATACCTGACTTTAGTTTCAACAATGGCCACCAAGTCAAGATGATTTTCAAAAATTAGCTTCCTTACCTCTCCTTGTTTAATAGGGTAATTGAGACCCCTAGTGTTCCAACATCTTATATTGATCATTAGGATTGGGGAGATTTTGGGTTAGAAACCCAACTAGCTTAGTGCTACTAGACCTTATCAGAGAATGAAGTCGATACCTGCTCCTCTTGACTTGTGGAAGGGCTGCAGTTATTTGGATGACTGTCTTCTTCCTTATTCAGTTCAGCAAATCTGTTGGGGGATTCAACTGGCATGACTTCAGGGACTTCTTTGCCAACTTCAGGGCAGGAGACTTGTTGTTTGGTTTGCAAGATCTGAGTATCAACTGGGGTAGCTTCAACAGAGTTAGTATCATTAACATGAGTATCACTAGTGGGTATGGACTGGCTACTACTAGATAGCAGATTGCTTGCTGCATGAGGATTTATAGGATTTTGATCAACCACTTGATGGAATGAGACCACTTCTTTCCCTTTCCAATTCCCCTCTTTTGCTGCCTTGTGGCTTTTAATAGTTTGTCAAGTCTCCTTAGGGGTTGCCTGTTGGGGAGGTGCAGCCTGCTGGGAGGGTGCTCTCTGCTGGGAAGATGCTTTGGAACAAGATGTTATAGAGTGTCCAAAGACTTGCAAGCATGGCATACCTTTGGCTTCCAAGGATATTCAACTTTAATTTCCATGATCTTTGAATCACCCAGGCAAAGATCAAAAGAATCAATAAGATCATGGCTTGCATCTGTTTCAATACAAATCCTTGCGTAACTGAGTCTTCTGCATTGCTCCGTTAGTTTATCAACATACAATGGTTTGCCCACTGCACTAGCAACATAGCTTAGGCCTTCATCATTCCAATATTCCAATGGTATATTGTGTAGATGAACCCACACAGGAATCTTAGTTTGAGAGACCTGTGTGAGCTCCATATTTGGCTGCCATTTCTGGAGAATAAGTGGTCTTCTCATAAGAATCCATGGGGCCATGCCAAGCACTCTAGCACATTCCTGCTCAAAAGAAAACTTGAAGAAGAAGAATCCCTTGTTATTTGCCAAAACCTCTGTTAAACCAAGTTTGTCCCAAAGCTTGTGGGCAATACCATTAACAACCGAGGATGAAAGTTTTTTCTCCACAAGGTATCCCACTAGTGTATTTCCCCAATTACAATAGCCTTTGCAAGCAACCTCTCCAGGGGTAGAAACAAGGACTCTAATTTCATTTAACTTGGGTTTAAAGTACTTTTTTCTTTGGNAAGAATCCCTTGTTATTTGCCAAAACCTCTGTTAAACCAAGTTTGTCCCAAAGCTTATGGGCAATACCATTAACAACTAAGTATGGAAGTTTTTTCTCCACAAAGTATCCCACTAGTGTATTTCCCCAATTACAATAGCCTTTGCAAGCAACCACTCCAGGGGGAGAAACTAGAATTCTATTTTCATTCAACTTGGGTTTAAAGTACTTTAGTTTCATGGGGGGGTGTTCCTGCTCCATTGGAATGGAATTGGTTCCATTTGGGTTCTAAACCACTTGTGACCATGAGTTGGGTCTGTTAGGATCCAAACTGGGTTTGCCCATCCCATTATTTCTGGGAAAAGCAGTCGTCTTATCAGTAGTATTGGAAAGAGCTAAAGCTGATGTGTCTTGTCTTTGACTAGCAGGCATGTTCTGGTTTTCAATTTTTGAATTTTCACCTTGAACAACGTGTGATGAACTCGGTGCCTGACTCACAGCATTGGGCGCAATTGCTATGACGTTGCTCAGTAGTTGTGAATTGTTTTCATGAAGGATATTGTTCTTCTGATTACCAATAACAACCTCCAGATTTGTAATTGCAAAGTCTTGGTCAGGTGCAGATTTGGAAACCACCATTTCAAAGAACCCAGATGAGGGAAGCAGAAAGGAGATGAGCAAAGAAACAAAATAGAGAGAGGTGAGGATGGAGGGCAATCTGGTGGTGATGGTGGCAGGTTGGGTGATTGTAGTGGTATAGTTGGTGGAAGTGAAAGTTAAGAGCTTGGTGGTCGTGTGGATGAGTATTAGCCGTAGATCTAGTTGTGGTGGGGGATCTGGTGGTAGGCTGGGGTGGGTCTGCCGGGCATCTTGGGGGGCAATTTTCATCTGNGATGAGTATTAGCCGTAGATCTAGTTGTGGTGGGGGATCTGGTGGTAGGCTGGGGTGGGTCTGCCGGGCATCTTGGGGGGCAATTTTCATCTGCTAGCAAGCCAAAAGATGAAACTTGGTCAAGGGATAGTTTGACTATTTGTCTCTTATTATTGATTGTCTTGTATCATACACTCAACTGATTTAATTGTGCATAAATCTACTTTTATTCATTATCAGCTATGATTTTTCAATGTTAACCCAGAGAAAGATGATGTTATTAATTAGCATGCAATTTTCTGCTTAAGGTTAAAGTATTGTGCAAACCTTCAGGACTACCTACCCTCCNATTTAATTGTGCATAAATCTACTTTTATTCATTATCAGCTATGATTTTTCAATGTTAACCCAGAGAAAGATGATGTTATTAATTAGCATGCAATTTTCTGCTTAAGGTTAAAGTATTGTGCAAACCTTCAGGACTACCCACCCTCCACCCCCCCCCCGCGGGGCCAGAAAAAAAACAGCTCAATTTCTTGAATTATGGATTCATTTAGTGGGATTACAGCATTATGGTTGCAGATTGTAAGATAAGCACGGAAATGTTGTGTAGCTGAAACCTGTTAATGCATAATTTTGTAAACTATAAACAATTTTAGTCGGAAGTGTGTCGTATCAAGTTTTGTGTTATATATAAATCGTGTTTAATAGATTCGTATCGTATTTAGCTAGTTTTGTACCGACCCATTTATTTGACAGGTTTAACAATTATTTATTTGATGGTCCTTTACCATACGAACCTACAAATGTTCAACTCAAATTCGATTATTTCGTGTCAATTCGCTTCTTGTGATATCTAGAATATTAGAAAGAGCTCGCATGTGATATTTAGTAGACGTGTATTCACCATTTTAAATCAGTTATACATTTCCATGTGAAGGTACTAACATAAATATGCAGCTCTAAGATCCAACTCAAATATGTTCATAACAATACCTCCTCAGGNTATTCACCATTTTAAATCAGTTATACATTTCCATGTGAAGGTACTAACATAAATATGTAGCTCTAAGATCCAACTCAAATATGTTCATAACAATACCTCCTCAGGGGTCACGTCTACTAGAAGGTTAGGGTGAACCTGACTCAAATCGAACTACCCAAAAAACTAATATGTAGGAAAGTATGGAATTGAAGAGAAAAAATGAAGCTAACATTGCATAAAGGTAAAAACAGAAGCTTAATTTGTCCACACTTACAACCACTAGCTAGTTGGTGCACATGTGTTCCGCACATAAATCATTGTAAGAATAAAATACTATATATGAAGTAGTAGTGGATCATTTTTTCAAAATCTAGAATTTTGGTAAACATTAAGAATTAATCAATCTGAATCTAAATTGTACTAAAAAAAACACAAAAAAAATACTAACCAAAATAATTAAATAAATTTAATAGACTTGATTTGTACCATCAGCCCGGCATAAAAAATAAGAATTATTCAATAATGGTAATAAACATGAGCAAAGTGTCAATGAAATTTACATGACAATATAATAAGTTGGGTGAACCATGTAGAACATGTAATATTCTAATAAATATAAGTAATGTTATATAAACTTAAAAAATAAACTTGATAATTATAATTATTGAACAGGTAGTAAGTCACAATAAATGTTATGAGCTATAAAAAAATTAATAGTTGTAATTATCAAGTCTATTTTTTAAGTTCGTGTAGGTTGCTCAATAAATATACATCCTCACTTCAATGGGCAATTACGGGACTTGCAACATCACTGTGGGTTGTTTGTTGAAGCCTTCCAATTGATAGTTGATATATTCACTGAACTTTAACTCCAGGAATTTGTAAAGTCAAGAAGTTTTTAAAACGGGAATGAAGACATTAGAAAATGCCACTAATTGCTATAGTTAATGTTATCCAAGGGCAGCCGAGATGGAGATATTACCGTTATAATTAAAAGAAAAAACAAGAATATGAAGACAGAGAAAAGTATAAATTAAGTATTGTTTATGACGAGCTCAGATTTAGATCAAATCTAAACCCATAGCATGGGTTAAATTCAAACCATCAAAAGGCATACCAGGCTTAGCTCATGCCTTCAGTCCAGTCCAAAGATCAAGAATCCAAGAAGATCAATACACGCGGGGGAGTAAACATTGGTATAACCATTACTCGAAGATAACACCTATCTTTAATTGTAACTATCATCCCCAAAAAACTAGTAACGTGACCTTCACGTCACCTCCTCAGCTAGGCTCTATGCCTATAAATTGTAAATCGTCTACACATGAGGGAGAGACATCTCTCTCATAGCTATCTCTGACACATCTCACCTTGAGAATACTTTTGCTCTCTCTCTCTCCCACCTATTACTTTATCAATAAAGTTCATCGGCCACCGTCGCCTCCTTTAAAGTAGAGTAGATCATCCAGACCGAACCACTCTATATTTGTGTTGATCTCATCTTTATATTTATTGCATTTAATACCCATATTAATTATTAAACAGGTAGTGCATAAATTCACTTTTGTACATTATCAACTTAAATTACTTTAAGAATTCTAGAAGATGCCAAGGGTGAAGTTAAATAATTCACCTTCATAGGAAGTATACACATGTGGCTATTATTACTATGAATCAAATTCATATTACGACAATTTTTCATGTTGTGAAAGAACATTTATATTTATACTAAAAAATGTAATTTTAATTGCTTATTGACCATAACGGCTCATACATTAGCACCATATCATACAATGTCACAGTTATATTTATTTATTCATGAACACTAACCATGTTAATCCCTTAAGTGGTTTAGAAACAATTCTAGGTGCAATAGATAGTGATGGAACAAAGCAAAACAAATACATGCATCTGAAAGTGGGATTGCCAAAACAAATAACGAATCAAACCGCAAAAAACGCTTGTAGGAGAAAACATAATTCACTCTCAAAAATTGAGAATNATGGAACAAAGCAAAACAAATACATGCATCTGAAAGTGGGATTGCCAAAACAAATAACAAATCAAACCGCAAAAAACGCTTGTACGAGAAAACATAATTCACACTCTCTAAAATTGAGAACGATATCAAACTCGTACTAAATTCCACAAAATTCAGTCAAATAGATCCATGAAACTTTTAGGAATAATGAAAAAGAAATATTTTCTATGCCAAAGACAATGATAGAGTAAAGAGAGAACATATAAATACACATATGTACCGTATAAAAAGTCCTGTAATTGAAAGACCTATGATCAATNCAGTCAAATAGATCCATGAAACTTTTAGGAATAATGAAAAAGAAATATTTTCTATGCCAAAGACAATGATAGAGTAAAGAGAGAACATATAAATACACATATGTACCGTATAAAAAATCCTGTAATTGAAAGACCAATGATCAACGATGAAAAACAACGGCTACAGCCTAATACCCACATCAATCTCAACTAATAATGATATTAGAAAATACATGTTAAAAAATTGTTACTCTCCATGCCTACAACACTGAAGTTGAATATAAAGGCACAATGAGGCCATTATTTTCAAGGAATAAAATAATTGTATTGCAAACATTCGGTTGTAGGGCTGTCAATTTTACTTACCACACACGCACACGACACGAAATTGAAAATAAAATAATTGATTAAAACGGAAAATAAATGGGTGTGAGAAAAAGTTAGAAAAAAATAGCATGGTTAACAGATATTGTAAGTAAAAAAATAGATATTTTATAATTTTTAAATTTTTTTTATAGAATATCATATGAATTGTTTTAAAATTAATTATTTTTTTTATTAACAAGAATACTTACACAAACACGATAAAAAAAATTAATAACATAATCCAAAAAATACACTATAATATAACATGAATTGACATTCCTAAATATTTTTCCCACGTTATAAACATGAGTTTTGAATCGTACTCTGATCTGAGATGTTGCTGTCAATGAGCAGTGCGCATGCATGAAATACACATAATGGTGCCAGCTTGGAATATTTTCTCATGAAATATACATGACAAGATCGGAAGAAATTGATTCAGGAGACTTGTCCTCGCGTCACCACAGGTGTGCAGGACACATAAATTGGCATTTGTCTACGATGCATCCACCCGCTTTTTTTTATTATATCAAAAAAAATTTACTTGCAAAATATTATATTTTCGCGGCAGAAGACGACGACGACAACGATCATGTGTAAAAGCAAAGCAAAGGCAACTAAAGTCACCGGCTACTTTTTAAAAATGTAAATACTAATTGAGGACAAAATTATAATAGTAATAGAAAATTTTAAAACAATTGTTGATAAAATTACCGTAATATACTAATTGAGGACAAAATTATAATAGTATATAGAAAAATTTTAAACAATTGTGGATATAATTACCGTAATACTCAGTTGTCTTAGCTTTGCTTTCACACGTGGTCGTTGTTTTTGGCTTCTGCAACCAAAATTTAGCTTTTTACAGGCAAAAATTTTTCAATATGGTACCAAAAAAGTGGCTGGATTTGATTTGTCTACAATACATCCACCCACCTTTTTCACATGTAAAACCAAAGCAAAGGCAATTGAAGTCATTGGTTGCTTTTTAAATTTGTACTTACTAATTGAGTACAAAAATATAATAATAATGAAAAAATTTATAATAATAGTGGACAATATTATCATAATAGTCAATTGCCTTTGCTTTGCTTTTACATGTGGTCGTTGTTGTTGTCTTCTGCAGCCAAAATACAA